GCGCCTCTGCTTGGGCCTCCCCGCCACCGCCGCCTCGGCTCGGCCACGGGGACCCCCTGAGACCCCCACTTGCCACCGAGATGCCCCACGGTCCCCTCCCCACCCCCGCACGGGGGTCCCCTCCCTGTGGCATGTCCCCCCCCAGCATCCGTGCTATGCCGTGCCTGTCCCCCAGCTTGTCCTGTGTTGCCACCCCCCAGCTCTGTCCCCATGTCCCCCTCCAGCTCTGTCCCCCACCATGCCTGTCTGCTTCTGCCCCTGTCCCCCCAGTTTTGTCCCCGTGGTCCCCAGGCTGGTTCCTGTGTCCCCTCAGTCCTGTCCCTGTACCCCCCAGTTTTGCACCCACCTCCCCAGGATCTGCCCCTACATCCCCCCATGCTGTTCCCATATCCCCATAAATTTTGTACCTGTGTCCCCCCATCCCATCCCCATATCTCCCCGAGTTTGTACCCGTGTCCCCCCATCCTGTCCCCGTATCCCCCCACCGTAACCCCCCATCCAGTCCCCATACCCCCCCCAAGTTTGTACCCACATCCCCCCATCCCATCCCCGTGTTCCCCAGAGTTTGTACCCACGTCCCCCCATCCCGTCCCTGCGCCCCTCCCGGGTCTGTCCCCATGTCCCCCTGCTCCTCTCCCTGCGTCCCCTCAGTTTTGTCCCCACATCCTTCTGCTCCCATCCCTTGGGACCTCCACATGCCCGTGCCCAAAGCCCCCCATCTCGAGGTGTCCCATGGTGTCCCCACAGGGCCCCTATTTATTTTCTGTCCCCATAAACCCATCCCCAGGGCGCAGCACGTACCCCCTGACGCCTCCACTCAGGGGTGGCTGGAGGGGAAACTGAGGCAGGGAGGCCCTGGGGCAGGGGGCCACAGTGCTGCTCCCCTGCCTTCCTGCACGCTGCCAGGTGACATTTTGGGGGGTTATTGGGGGTTTGCTGCCTTCCCAGCAGGTACCGGGGGGGCCAGGGCCAAGAGCTTGGGGCCGTGCTGGGGGTCCCTGCTGTGAGAGGAGCAGCCCAGGGGGCTGGGAGATAGGGTGGGGGGCACGCCTGCTCCCCCAGCCCAGGGAGCGTGCGGGCTCCAGGACCCTGCAGATGCCCCACGTCTCCCAACGCAGCCTCCCGGCCCTTTGTGCGTTACGCGGCGTGACGAGGCGTGACGTGACGTGACGCGGCACGACGTCCCCGCCACGGCCACCCCCTTCCCCTTCCGCCCCCGCCATCTCCCCCCCCCGCACCCCCCCGCACGCCCCCGCCC